CCCCCTCCCGTCCCCCTTAGACCCAGACCCAGACCTACCCGCGTGGTGTCCAGACATCGCCCCGTACATCCCTGGAGGCGCCACTCCTACAGGTGTACTGGTCAGCATACAGGCAGGAGATCCGTGCTGCCCCCGGGCCGGTAGATACTGCTCCCCAGAATGGCCGCCCTCCATGTTCATTATCATGGTGAGCAGCTAGGACCGTCGTCGACTCAGCTCTCTACCCCAGGGTCCCAGCAAAACTGCCACAAGCCACAGAGTACGATGTTGAGAGTGAGAGTGTGAGTGTGGGCGGAGAATGCTGCTGCTCATAACACGTCGAGTCTTTCTGGTGGGGGGGGAAAAAAAAAAAAAAAATATATATATAGTCAACACGTGAACGGCAGAGGTCAAAATAGCTTTGGTTAGATTATAATGGCGGCAAATTCGAAACATAAGAATTGTTGTTTTTGCATCCGTAATTATGATGTGGTAGTGGTACATTTTAAAACAAAATGTAGACTTTTTTAAAAGTAAGTGTTTTACGGTACTTGCAACACAATAAGGTCATATACGTGCCGAAGATTAGAGGTGTTACAAGAGAGTAACAAACATATAAAAGAAGGAGGTGAGGTAGAGATGATAGATTTTTTTTATAGGAAAGAAGGAGCAAACCACACCAAAGCACCCGCCAACCACCCACAACACGTGAACGGCAGAGGACAAAATAGCTTTTGTTAGATTATAATGGCGACACACTTTATAAAAAAAGACAAATTCGAAACATGAATAATTGTTTTTGCATCCGTAATATGTGGTGGTGATGGCGGTGGTACATTTTAAAACAAAATTTAGACTTTTGCTTTAGTAACTATAGATCTAGACTACATCAATTTTTCTAAGGGGGCATTTGTTGTAATATGAAGGGTATGTTTTGTTTTCAGTTTTTAGGTTATTTCTTCTTCTGGGTTGTTGGGTAGGTTTGTTGTTTTGTTTTGTTTTTGTTTGGGTTTTTTTTTTGGGG